CAGGCCATCGGCATGTGTTGCCTCCACTGCTGCTGCTTTCTCAGCAGTATGCACGCCAAGGACAGCAGCAGCAGAGGGGCGGGCAACATGCAGGCGCAGGGACTTGAACAGAGAGAGGCGGTGGGACGCAGCCTGCAGCCGACCCTTGCTGCTGCTGCTGACGCTGCTGCTGGTGCTGGCGTTGATACTGCCGCAGCTGCTGCCAGCAATGTTGGTCCGGCTTGCTCTCCAGCTGCTGCCCTCCTCCGCCGCTGCAGCTGCTCTCAGAGCTCTCAGGGCTGCTCCGAGCCATGCCAAGACTGCCCTGACTGGACACTCTAAACATGTACCCCGTTGAACCTGTTGACTGCGTTGACTGCACTGAATCTGCAGCGTTCCGCCCTTGCTGCTGCGTGCCGTCGTCGCACTCAGACGCCGTCTCCACGGGACGACAGCAGCGGGAGGCCCCTGGGCGTCAGCCCCTCCCGACCAGTTCGCCTGCCTCGCCTCATTTCGCCCACTGAAGTAGCGAACGCCCCTGTTTTCGCTGCCTTTCGCTACTCTCCGCCTCCCCCTCCTCTTCACGCTCACCTCGCGAGATCTTAAGGTCGCGGATAGCGTTTTCCCACGAGTACATATCTTCTGCGGAAATTGCATAAGCACCGAGCTGTGCCACGGTATGGTTTTCAGCGCGCGACGCGCTCGCGGCGCCTTTTGGCGAGACTAGGTCCATCAGCGACCACGGGCCCTGACGCGCCGTGATTGCTGACGTCACGCGGGACGCGGCTCCGTTCCGTCCCGTCGCGCTCACGTGACGCATTTCTACGAGGGCGCGGGAGAGCGGTCAAAGCGCGCGCAAGCTTCCGCGACCCGCTGGAGAGAAGCGCGCGCGGTGAGACGAGGGACGAAGCGGAGGCAGGGGGTGCCCGCGGGGAGATGAGGGCGGACGCGGAGGACGGTGGCGCGCGCGGAGAGATGAGGGCGGACGCGGAGGCCGGTGGCGCGCGCGGGGAGATGAGGGGGGAAGCGGCGGAGGACGGTCGCGCGCGCTGCGAGACGGAGTTGGGGATGGTTGGCGCAGTGGACGGGACGGTGCCGCTGGTAGTCCGGGCAAGGGGAGGAAGGGTTGTTGCCGGCGTGGCCGCGGCGGCGGCTGCACTAGGCGATGATGGCAACGCGACGGCGCCGATGGCGGCACCGGTGGTAGGTTTGCGCGGCGTGGTGGGCATCATTAGCGCGGCGCGCAGCGAGTGGTTTATGGGAGGCATGGACGCCGCACGCTCCAAGCCAGATCCGCCTTTCGCTGCGACCGCAGCGCGTTGGCGGGTCGAGGTGCGGGATGCACGCGGCGTGAAGCAGCTTACAACGGTCGCATCGTCCCGACGGCGACTCCGAGTCGTCAATCATGTTTTTCCGCATCGCTCGCCGTGCACTCCGCCGCACATGACGCCAAATCATGCGGCCGGCGCGCGTGGTTGACCGAGAGAGCAACGTGTGCAGCCAAGACTGGATGCTCCACCAAGCAATAGGTTCCTCCAGGCCGCAAAAAACGCTCCGGCGGAAGAGGCGCCACATTTGGCGGTTGTGATTGTCGCGACGGTCGCGTAGCAATAGCCAGAAGTAGCAAGATCTGGCGGTGCCCCCGCGCCCGACGCTGCGATGTGATTCAGCGACGCGAGGCCGTGGTGGGGAAACTCTCTAAGGACGTCCCTGACTTGCATGAGCTGCTCGTGATACAAACGAATGGAGCCATCGGAAAGAAGAACGATGACGGGATCTGCGGACGACGCGGGCTGTGCGACGGCAAACGCCATCACTTTCGACGAATAACAGAAGGCGTCACGTGACAGGGCTTAGGAACTGAAGAACGCGTTATGAGGGAGAAGCCGAGAAGGTACGAAGACGTTGAACGTCAGCTTGAAGCTGTGGGGGAAAAGAAGTCGACATTTTTAGCTCACTCGCGATTCTCAACCATGTATGGGTGGAAGAACTTCCAAACGACTCGAGGAAAAAATTGCTCGAGGCGTGCGTGGTGCTGTATGGTTCTGCTCGGTGACCCTGCTGAGTCAGCCACTTGAAAGCAGAACTGGGCTGCCTCGTCTGACACCATCCGTACCAGACCGCCAAGTACAACACCGTTCTTTAGGGCGTGGTGCATCATGCTGTCATTGCATAAAATGCTTGATCGCGATGCTAGAACCGCAACCCTGTGAAATCCGGTTGGGTTGGGCGTGCTCGGGGCCCCCTGCGACCCAATGGCACCCCCCATGATGCGCCACCTGCAGTTTTGCAGTCCCGATCCCCCACTACCAATGAGACGCGGTCAAGGCGTCGCCTGTACATTTTGGTTTCAGCGTTTGTTCCGTAACCATGTCGTCTTCGCCTCGCTCTCGTGTCCGTTTTGTTGTTCGGCGATTTTTTTTTCTCGCGAACAAGGATCGGTGTGCACGTGGTGCACCTCCAACCCTTGATCGCGTGGGATCGCAGGCTCTCAGTTCCCACATGCTCGAGGGTGGTGGGTGGCAGTTTTCGCGATCCCCCAGGGTCGTGGTGCAGCAATGCTACAGTACTTACTGTGCTCAAAAGACAAAACATTGTAACAAGGATCGCTTGGGATCGCGATCCTACAAAATAGCATGATGCACCTTGGCCTACCTTATCTGTTGTCCGAGGCTCTTACTGTACGAAGGTCGGAGTCGCTGGTCGGTCACTCATTTCGGCTGCCGGCGAACACCATGTTGGCGTGGCGGCTTACTTGACGGACGGCTTGTTGGAGTCGACTGACACGAGGAGGCGAGACTGAGTCATCCTACAGTCGCGTGACGTGACGACGACTCGATTTCGTGCAGAACGTGTGAAAGGAACTTGACCAGAACCCACGATGGACACCTGACCTAACGGTTCCGCATTTTCCGAACCTTCTATTTGTGCCACTTGCAGGTCAAGCACTGTGCGGAGGAACGAAACACACCAAAAGCTGCAACCAGCTGGAACGTCTTGCAGCAAGCAACGGTTGCTCCAACTGATACGGAAAAGACCCCACTGAACTGAAATATCTCAGAAATAGCGTGTTGAACCGTACCGTACCGAACATTGGCAATACGAGACAAACAACCACAGACAGCTGGCGAAAAATGTAAACAGTGGGGTTGCCGAGCTGAGCCAAGTTCATTCATCCAGCCGACAGGCAGGCACCCCCACATACGTCCAAATCAGATGCCTCCCCCAGCAAGCACACTTGCAGCAAAGCGTCAACAGGTGATGGGGGTGGGTCCGTACTGGATGCTCGTTATAGGTTCATCCAGTAGTGCAATATCTTTTGAAACGGCAACAATTTCAACGTCTCCCTCAAAAACACTTTGACATGTCTGTTTCACTCACTAAACTCCCCATTCCTAACTCTATCCGCTAGCCTTTTCCCAATCATGAACGCCACTGACTCAATAGACACCATAGGATTCACTCCCACAGGCGTCGGGAAACACACTCCCATCGCCCACAAACAACCCAGACACTTCCCAACTCTCCCCATTCTCATCCACAACAGAGTTCTTAGGGGAAGTACCCATGGGGCAGCTGCCGGTCTGGTGCGCGGAGAACAATGTGCAATCATTCAGCTTAAAGCCCGCTGCAACCACGGATTTCAAGTACGCCTCAAACTCCGTATCAGACGTGCATTGCCACCCATCCATCCCCTCCAAGCTAATGCTGCCTTTCAATTTGGCTTTCGCTGCCAGCAGGTTTTCATCAGCTGTGTCGGCGTCAACGGTGGGTGGGATGAGGCAGCGGAAGGGCTTGAGGGACTGGTGAAGCGTGCCCACCTCCACAGCTCCCGCTGCCCTAAGGATGCGCAGCGACAGCAGCAGGGCCTCCTGGTGATGAATATAGCAGGACATGAATAGCGCATCGGGGAACAAGGAGAGGGAGACGGGGAGAGACGTGTTTTGAGTCGACCCAAAAGTCGACAGCAGCAGGGCCTCCTGGTGACGGGTGGCAGATTATGAATAGCGCAATGGGGAACAAGGAGAGGGAGACGGGGAGACAGCCCACAGTTGTTTGCATGAACAACTTGCTAGCACAACCTGACCCGCCTTGCCCAGCTGGGGTGACTTTGGAGTCGATGTACATGTCTGCACAACCTTCCCACATCCCCTTCCACCCCCATCATACACTTTCCCCTCCCCAACCCCTTTTCCCCACTCTCCCCTCCCCTACATCTCACCTGCATGCTCTTTTGGTCCTCCTTGCACAACCGGTACGTCACTACAGGCCGGCCGCTGCCGTCCACGCGCACAGTGCCACGCCCGCGGTCCCTGACGATGGAGATGAGCGAGGCAATGCGGTCGAAGCGCACTGCTGACTGCTTGATGGTCTGACTGCCCAGCCAGGGTATGGCGCAGCCTAGCAGACCCGGGTGTATCGTGGGGGTCTGGAGGGAGAGAAGGGAGCAGAGGAAGGCGAGAAGCACAAAGGGTAGGTAAGTGGAAGCAAAGTGCACGACAGACTGCTTGATGGCCTGGCTGCCCAGCCAGGGTATGGCGCAGCCCAGCAGACCCGGGTGCATCGTGGGGGTCTGGGATGGCACACGGGGGGAAGAGGAAGGCGGAAAAGTGCAGATTGCAGCAAGGGAGACATGTGATGACATTGTGGGGTCATCACATGAAATACAGGGTGCGACCTGAATCATATGACCTGAATTATATGACCTGATTCATAAGACCTGATTCATAAGACCTGATTCATATGACCTGATTCATGAGACCTGATTCATAAGACCTGATTCATATGACCTGATTCATAAGACCTGATTCATAAGACCTGATTCATATGACCTGATTCATGAGACCTGATTCATAAGACCTGATTCATAAGACCTGATTCATAAGACCTGATTCATATGACCTGATTCATAAGACCTGATTCATAAGACCTGATTCATGAGACCTGATTCATAAGACCTGATTCATAAGACCTGATTCATAAGACCTGATTCATAGACCTGATCATAAGACCTGATTCATAAGACCTGATTCATAAGACCTGATTCATAAGACCTGATTCATAAGACCTGATTCATAAGACCTGATTCATAGACCTGATTCACATGACCTGATTCATAAGACCTGATTCATAAGACCTGATTCATAAGACCTGATTCATAAGACCTGATTCATAAGACCTGATTCATATGACCTGATTCATAAGACCTGATTCATGAGACCTGATTCATAAGACCTGATTCATAAGACCTGATTCATAAGACCTGATTCATGAGACCTGATTCATAAGACCTGATTCATGAGACCTGATTCACACTGCACCCGTACCTGAATCATGGCACCATATCCACTTGTCTCCCAGTTAGCCGTCTCCCTCGAGTTGACGCTCATGATTGGCCCCAGATAGCCCGGGCCCGCGGGCAGCGACGGCGGCAGGGAGGGGGCGGTTTCGGGGAAGAAGCCCCAGGCGGAGGTGACGGGGTGCAGGCGCAGTGAGGCGCCGATGGCTCGGTTGGTGAGACCACTGGCGAGCAGTAGAGGAGGCGTGTGGAGGCTGGCGGGGTATGGGGAGGGGAAAGGGGAATAAGTGGGTGGAATGGGGGACAAAGAGGGGCAGAGGGGGGCAGGGGATGACAAGGGGGTTGAAGGGGGGCAGGGAGGCAGACAGAGAGGGGGTTAACGGGGAAACAAAGGGGAAGGTCTCGGGAAAGAAACCCCCCGCGGAGGTGACGGGGTGCAGACGCAGCGAGGCGCCGATGGCGGGGTTGGTGAGACCACTGGCGAGTAACATTGGCGGCGTGTGCAGGCTGGTGGGGGGGCGGGGGAGTAGGGAAGGGGAGCAGTGGGGGCAAGAAGGAAAGAAGCCAAAGGCGCAGCGAGGGGCGGATTGCAGTGTTGGTGAGGCCACTGGAGAGCACCAGAGGGGGCGTGTGCAGGCCGGTGGGGGCCCGGGGGGGAGGGGGTATGGGGGTAGGTAGGTGCAATGTGGGTCAAGAAGGGGCAGTGGGGAACCACGGGGTGGGAAAGGGGTTAAGGGCGTCAGAGGTAGAACATTAAGGATGTAAACGTTGCAGGCTCCCACCCTACCTGCCACACGCCACAACAACCAAGTTGGCCTCCACCACAACTCTCTGCCACACGCCCTGCTGCTCTACTCTCGCCTCCACCCCCACCACCCGCTTCCTCCGCCTCACGCCAGCAGCCGCGCTGCTGCTTGTGGCACCAGGGGTGGTGCTGGCTGGGCGGTTGGGGGAGAGGAGGAGGCGGAGGGCGGCGCAGCGGGAGAGGATGATGGCGCCGTGTGTAACAGCGTCTGGTAACCAGGTTTCCAGCATCGACTGCTTCTCGCCTGACCAACAGCCAAAGGTGCACCAGGCGCCTGGGAGGGGTTGGAAGCAAATAGGGAGAGGAGGGATGGGGCCTGAGCAGAATGACAAGGGTATGGAGAGCACCTGCTAAGTCTGCCACTTATGTAGATGCACGTCAAGATGCAATGTGGCTACTCACAGGGGTGCGGCTACTCACAGGGGTGCGGCTGGTTGGTGTTGCGGGGGGTGACGGCATGGTGGCAGCCCAGAGCCGCGCACCCCGCCTTGAGCGCTGCGTTGCTCAGGCTGTGCGGGGTGAGGGTCTCGTCTGCTGTGACCTGTGTGGGGGAAAAGGGAGGGGCAGCAGGGGAGACGCATGCTGACAACCCTGGGCAGGGAATTAGAAGTCAGTTTTGAGCACAGCTTGTGAGCTGCTGAATCTAGTATTGGGCATGCCTCAATGTACTTTCGCGCACCTGAATCTTCTCACAAACGGCATCCATGGCTGCTGCATACTCCGGCGACTCAAATTGCTGCCAGACGTGTGGGGCAGCGAGGGGGAGAGTAGGTGGGAGGAGGGAGGGTGAGCAACAGGGACATGAGAGAGAGCCGTGAACGTGCAGTAGTGATTCACATGGCGTAAAAATCATGTGTTACATGGTGGCAGGCACCAGATCACACCACGTTTTATGTCACACCATCCATGTTCGCCAGAAGAAAATAGCACTCGTATGCTCATCAGCATTTCAACAACCCACGCTTACCCACCTTGAGCCCATACTCGCCGGCCCACTCCTTGGTGACGTGGGGCGGTGTGCGGAAGGATGCAGACCAGTTGACAGCACTGCCGCCTCCCACTGTTCTCCCTGCCAGAAGCGCCACCCCGCCATCCTCCGTGGTGAGAAAGCCCTGCGTGTCGTACCTGAGAGGAGCCAGGGAAGGAAATAAGAGGGAGGATGAATCGGGAGGGTGAGAATTCAGAAGTCCACTCGCCAGACTTCGGTGGTGACAAAGCCTGCGGGAGGCTTTGTCTACCCTTGAAAAGCCGGAGCAGCGATTACTGCTCATGCACGGTCGTACTGCTCATGCACGGTCGTACTGCTCATGCACGGTCGTACTGCTCATGTGTGTCGTGCCTGCGGGAGCCAGGAGAGGGAGGGAAACAAGAGGGAGGACGACAAGGTAGACTAGGAGGCCACTTGCCAGCAGCGCCACCCCGCCATCCTCCGTGGTCAGGGAGAGGGTTGAGCTAGGACAGCGAGTGAGAGAAGATGGACGGTGGAGTTGGAGTGTGAGAAACGGGGGGAACGGGGAGGAACGTTTTGAATCAACTCACTGCCCTCCCCATTCGCAGCCCCACGCTGCCTTTCTCTGTGTCGTACCACGCTGCCATTCTCTGTGTCGTACCACGCTGCCATTCTCTGTGTCGTACCACGCTGCCATTCTCTGTGTCGTACCACGCTGCCATTCTCTGTGTCGTACCACGCTGCCATTCTCTGTGTCGTACCACGCTGCCATTCTCTGTGTCGTACCACGCTGCCATTCTCTGTGTCGTACCATGCTGCCATTCTCTGTGTCGTACCATGCTGCCATTCTCTGTGTCGTAGCTGAGGGAGCACGCAGGACAGGGAGTACTCACATCTGAGCAGGACAGGGAGTACTCACATCTGAGCAGGACAGGGAGTACTCACATCTGAGCAGGACAGGGAGTACTCACATCTGAGCAGGACAGGGAGTACTCACATCTGAGCAGGACAGGGAGTACTCACATCTGAGCAGGACAGGGAGTACTCACATCTGAGCAGGACAGGGAGTACTCACATCTGAGCAGGACAGGGATTACTCACATCTGAGCAGAGGGAGCTTCGAGAAGGGACAAGTCCGAGCGGAAAAAGTACCCCCCTGCTTCCAGCACCAACACCTTCCTCCGCCGCCCGCTGTCATCCCCACCATTGCCAGCACCACCAGCTGCAGCTGCTGCTTCTGCGAGCTGAGCCGCAATGATGGCTCCTCCACAGCCCGAACCAATCACCACCGCATCGCATCGCACCACCACAGGCTGGCAAGGGAGCAGCAGATGGTGTGCGGTTGGAAGGAGTGAAGAGCAGTAAACACGGGGCAGAAAGCGGCTGATAATGGATGGTACGAGATGGTTGAGATATAACTCGGTGGAAAGAGATGCTACAAGTTGGAGTGTGTGAGGGGTGGACGGGAAGAGTGGTGGGTGGGCAAGGAGTGTAATGATTTCAGTACAAACAAAGTTCACCTCATAAACGTTTCCCACTATACCACCCACTGCACACACATCACCTCACCCAAGGGACCCACCTCTCCTTCCCCTTCATCTCGCCTGCCCAGCAGCCCAATCGTCTGCCTGGGCCCCGGAAGCACCTCCACGCCCTTCCCTTGCAGCACTGCTGCCAGCCCCTCGCCCTCTGCTGCACAGTCCACCACCGCCTCGTCCAGTGGCCTCGCCTCGCCTCCCTTCGCCCCACACCCACCACTCTCCCCATCTCCCCTCATCATCTCCTCTTCATGCTCTGCTTCTCCTTCGCCTCTGTCGGATTGCTGAGCTGGACGCTGTGCCATGTCAGCATGTTGAGCTGGCCGTTGTGCCACGTCAGGATCGCAAGCAGCTGAGCTGTCTCGGCCGCGGTGCTTCCCAGCAGCGAGCATGTTGGGATCGGGTCCGCAGTACCCCATGGCGCGCCACAGCATGCTATTGCCAGAGCCGTCATGCTGGTGTTTGGGGTGCATGGGGTGCATGGGGTGCGTGGGGTGCATAGGGCGCATGGGGCGCATGGGGTGCATGGGGTGCATGGGGTGCATGGAGTGAATGTCAGCATGGGGCGCATTGAGGTCGGCTGACCTAACAGTGTTGATACAATAGATACTTATTCTTCTATAATGTTTTTCTTACTGCGCACGCCTCAAGCTCAGATTCCACACATGCGAACTGGGAGGGGGCACAGATTGATACAAAGCTTCTGTTGACAGTGCCTCGCTCATCGCAGCATGAATGGACCCCTCGGGGGAATAAGGGAGGGAGTGAGCGAGGAGTGCTGAATGTGGGAGGGGAGGGGTGCAGGGTTGGGTGATAGCTAGGGATGAGTGGGGAGCGAGGGTGGTTGGGGTGGGGTGAAAGCGAGGGTGGGGCACAGAATGGACAGGAAAAGGGAGGCTTACCTGAGCGCCCACGTGGAAGAGCGTGAAGCTGCGGAACGTCTGTGTTGAACACGGGGGTTCACGGGTAAAACAAGGCATAGCGATGTTACAGAGTCATTAACAGCATGGGAATCATGGAATGCACCACGCTCCACGGAAAAAAATTGAATCTCACACCCACCCGCACCTGTGACATTGAAGTGAAGCTGCCTCGCAAACGCATGTCCTTTTGAGCCACCAGGTACACACTCACAGCCTCGAGACACAACTCTCTAGCTTACCCCCGCTCTCCCTCTCACTGTCACCATCCGCCTTCGCCAACCCCCTCCCCTACTCCCCACCTTGAACACGGTGCGCAGCAGGAAGTTGCTGCTCACGGACCACTGCAGCAGCACGGCCTCGCGAGCCTGCGGCGACAGCTTCGCGAAGGGCTGCACGAACGGCGGCCGCCGGGTGAAGGCCCTGCGGCCGGCCAGCAGCAGCGTGCCGAGGCGCGTGGAGAGCAGCCATAGGACCGTGCTGAAGACGGCCAGAGGCAGGGGTTTCACGCACTGCTTCATTGTCGTGGCCACCTGAACGAAGGGGCGGCAAAGTTGGCGAGTATTGAGATGCCTTCCCAAAGGCGAGTGGAAAGGAGCCAGAGCAGTGGAATGGAGCGAGCGAAGACGTGATGCCTTCACGGAGGTGACTACGCGAAGGGCCAGCGGCTTCTGCCATTGCTGCATTTTCACGGCCTCCTGCACGGAAGGGAAGCAGCCACGGCGACGGAGACGAGGAGGTGCCAAGGGAACGAAAAGGCAAGGGATGGAGAGCATGATAGCACGCGACCCGCCGCTACGCGTGCACAGGTTGCACGGACCAACGAGGGGACGCTCTCGGAATAGGACCGGACGGAGGGCCGTTGGATCAGAATGCTGAACGAATGGCAGGCGAGCGCGAGAGGATGCTACCAACGGGCCGACGAACCTTGTCGACGATGCCGAGGCTAGACGCGGATTCCGCGAAGTACGCCGCGATGGCTTCCTTCCGCGGCTCGCCGTAAAACTCGCTCCATTGGCTAGACGACTGCGAGCCTTCCTTTCGCTTCCCGACGAGCTGGAAATACGGGTCGTCGGAATCCGTCGGAACCGGCATGGAGGATACGAGCGTGTCGCATATGGCGGTCAACGCGGCGAATTGACGAGGCGACATCGAATGCTTGGGAGGTATGCCTTTCTCCTTGACCTTCTTGCTACTACGAGTAGGCATTCTGTCAATCCGTCGGAAGCACGGATATGCCCTGGAAACAAACCGACGAAGGTAGAAAAGGCGATCGAATGTGGGACGACCAGAATCCGGCGCAGGAATGACTGATGAAAGGAGAGGAGCACTGGTGGGGCCTTTCAATCAGCCTCGTCGTTATGGCCTGAACCTGAAATGCTTGAAATGTGCCTGAAATTCCTGACTCGAGGCATGCAGCGTGGAGCTTGATTGAGCAGGGGTATCCCAAGGTGTTGGAGGGTGTTCCCAAGGTGTCATCGAGGTGCAAATTCTCGCTTGTAGAAATCTGGATAAAGTGTTAGTGCTGACGTAGCAAAATATTACGTTGTACTGAACGGTGTAGCTTCGGCAAAATCATGAAAGGGTCAATCCCACGGGATGCGAATTTGCAGGTCAACAATACGACAACGCCTCGCCACCACCCTCCATGGCAGTGAGGAGGAGAGCATTGCAGATCCCAGAGCAGACTGAAACCGTCCGATGTACTCTCCTTTTGTCGATGAGAACCGTGCATTCCCCAGCGACAAACGGTCTGGTCGCATGGCCCAGGGTGCTGTGATGCGAACTTCTCGTTCGCCCAGGGCCTCACTTCTGACAAAGCCCTATGTGCGACAAAGCACATCGCATCGCATGGATCCAGTCGTATGCCTCGTTCCGTCCCGTCCGTCCCGTCGTTCCGTCCTTCCCTTCCTGCACACTGGTTTTCCCATGTTCTGGTGTTGAGGTGTGCAACAGTGAGTGACACGGACCAAACCTAGATTTTTCATGGTGTGGGATTCAGAGAGTTAACGTTGCGTTTAAATTGTCATTTTTAGCTTTCAAGACGGTTAAGTAGGATTTCGAGGTAGAAAAACTCCCCTGTGTCGCAACCTCATTCTGAGCATCTGAGCAGTGAGCATCCCAGCCAAAAATTCCAGCTTCTAGGAGATAACGTAGAAGTGACGGAAGCATTCACCACGGAAGCCCCCTTAGCAAGGAAAGTAGCTAAAGGGTCTCGTAGTTCTCTCAGCTGTCGAGAATAATAGTTCGGCGCAAGGCCGGATTCTTGAATATTGACGTTTTAATAGTTCCGCATCTTATCTAATCTCTGGTTGTATGCGATATTGTGGAATCCAAGAGGGAGGCGAATAGACGGAGTGATGCCTGAGATGGATGACTTCGAGGTTGGTGCATTCCGCTGGTTCTTATGGCTCTCAAAATCTTATTCGCTAGTTACCACACTACTATACGACGTTTACTGTCATATCGAGCATCATGTCATTGTCTCTTCCTCGTTGACTTCAAGTGAATCTCTTTACGCGCTTGTCGTCATCTCTTTTCCACTCCGTTCATTTTCCCGCGCTTTATTCTCCGTACGCTCCCTGGCATCAGCTGATGGGCGATGCGAGCGACACGGACATGGCGGAGCAGCACGAAGTCGCAGACGCCGACACTCGCTACACGGAACAGCAGGAGGACACGGACGGCGACTTTTGCCACACCGAACAGCACGAGAACACGAACTCCGACTATCGCTACACGGAGCAGCACGAGAACTCGAATGCCGGCTATACTCGTACACATCAGCGCCGAGTCTACTACGATGCGGGTCCCGCCGGTGGCGATCAGGAGCAGCGGCAGGTGTATTACGACACGGACGAATCTCTCGCAGCGAGCGACGACGACGACGGAGACGACGACGAGGAGAGCATTCGAGGCGACGACGACTTCGGATTCTCATGGCGCCGACGAGGCAGCCAGCGAGGCGGTACCCGGTCGTTTCAAGACAACTCCGACGACGATAATGATCTCGTAGGTCTCCGGATCATCGGTTAATTGTTGCGTGGCGTGTTCATCCAGCCGCCTTCGCGTGCGACAATCACAAATTCCGTCAGTTTCGTCGCCAGCCTGACTCAGATTAGGTCAGGTCGCTGCGCCATTCCCCGTCGCCGCGCGTCCTGCTTCTTCTTCGACTAAACAAGATCCCTTTTCCTTCCCCCCACCTCCCCTTGTCTCCTGTCGCACCCTGTTTCACCCTGATGCCAGCTGGAAGGCCCGGAGGACGTGAGCGCGCGGCAGGTGCGGCGGGGGCGGGACATTCAGGGGATTCCGTGGGAGCGGCTGCACCTGAGTCGGGAGAAGTACCGCGCGATGCGGCTGCAGCAGTACAAGAACTACAAGAACCTCGACGTGTCATTGGATGTTGTTGATAAGGTGCGCGCAGTGTTTATGTGCGCGCACATGCGTCATCACGAGAGCAAGTGTCAGGCGTCCTCGATTCTCCGTTACATTCATCTCCTCCTCGTTTTGCACTTCTTCTCTTCCTTCGGTTTCCCTCCTCCTTCTCCCTCCCCAGCCCCGTTCCCTTCTCACCCCTTCTTCTGCCTGCCTTATCCCGCATCTTGCCTCACCCTCCACCCTCCACGATATGGCCAAGTCACACTCGGCCTCCTCAATTTACCCCTCTTCTTTCTCCGTCCCCTCTTCTTCCTCCTCACCCCTTCCCCTCTCCCTCTCTGGCTCCTTCTTTCCTGCCTTACCCCCCGTCTTGCCTGTCAATTCTCCCAGGAAGTGCAGCAGGTGACGACGGGCAGCAATTTCTACGAGTTCACGCACAACACGCGCGCAGTCAAGTCCACCATCGTGCACTTCCAGCTGCGCAACCTCGTGTGGGCCACGTCAGCGCATGACGTGTACTCGCTGCACCACCACGTCATCAACCACTTCTCCCCGCTCACGCGCAAGTCCACCCCGGTCCTGGACCTCGGAAACCCCCTCGTCGCCAGGCGCCACGCCCCCCCGCACGCCCACGCGCCCACAGCTGGCGCGCGGGGCGCAGGGGGCGCGGGGGGTGCAGTAGGCAGGGGGGATCAGCGCAGCGGAGTGCAGCTGGAGCCTTCTGCGCGGGCGATTTACACGGGAGCCATGCCCTCCGCTGCAGGCTCCGCTGCTGCTGGGAGAAGCAACAGCAGTAGCAGCGGTACAGAGGAGGGCAGAGCGGTGCTGGGGAGAGAGGCAGGGGGACTGGCGCTTTCTCAACAGCAGCAGCAGCAGCAGCAGGAGGGGGTGTGGGAGGCGGTGGATCGGGTACAAGTGAGCACCATGTGCGTCAGACACGGGCTGCTCGTAGCAGGGGGCTTTCACGGGGAGATGGTCTGCACCAGGCTCGGCACAGGCTCGGAAGCGGACGCAGGCTCGGGGTCGGAAGCAGGAGTGGCGTTCACAGGGCGGGTATCCCGGGATCAGAGTGCCATCACGAACGCTGTTGAGATCTTCAGATCTAACAGGTGCGAAGGGAGGGGTTTTGAGGCCCGTCAAAGGTTATTCCGGGATGAGAGTGCCATCACGAACGCTGTTGAGATCTTCAGACCTAACAGGTGCGAAGGGAGGGGTTTTGAGGCCCGTCAAAGGTTATCCCGGGATGAGAGTGCCATCACGAACGCTGTTGAGATCTTCAGATTCAACAGGCCATTCCTGCCATTCTAGCCTCTCCTGTCATCAATTCTTCCTTGTGCCTCTCCCCCTCTCTCGATTTTCTCCACTCTCTTGCTTGTTTCCTGTCTCTCTCGCCCCTTCCGCCTTTTGCTCGCCCGCAGTGGAGCACTGAGTGTGCTCACGTCCAACAACGACTGTGTGGTGAGGGACTTCGACATCGCCACCTTCTCCATCCTCTCCCGCCAAGCCTTCCCTTGGCCCGTCAATGTGAGCCCCGCCCACTCATCTTTGTCTCGCATGTCCCTCTCAGCTGCTCATCTACTGCTCTCATCTCCCACCTCTCACCTTTCGTCTCTCACCTCTCACGTCTCGTTCTCCCTCCTCCATCCCGCGCGCCCCCCTCTCCCATTGCCCACCAGCACACGGCAGTGGCACCGGACAGCACGCTCGTGTCAGTGGTGGGGGACGACCCCGAAGCATTGCTACTCGACCTCACCTCGGGCAAGGTCTGCTCCTCTCGCCCTCGCCCCCCCCTGCTCACTCCACACCCTCCTCTCTCACGCCTCCCTGCTCACTCCGTTTCCCGCTCCCCTCCCTGCCCGCACCACCGTTGCTCTTCCTCTCCTCCCTCTCCTCCCTGCTCACTCCACCCCCGCCCATCCACACCTCTGCTGACTCTTGCCGGGTGTGCCTCGCTCGCTTCACCATCCACCTTTGCCATCACCTTGGAATGAAGTTATTTTCGTCCTTCACCTGTCCACGTGTTTCATCCTCTGCCTCTGCCCCCCACAGCTCTCAGCCTCTCTTCCTCTCCCCTGTCTCACGTGCCTCATCCCCCCACACAACCCCCATACCCCCCCATATCCCCCCCATACCCCCCCATACCCCCCCATATCCCCCCCATACCCACCCATATCCCCCCCATACCCCCTCATATCCCCCATGTCCCCACTCCTGCATGTCAAACCACTCACTGCCCTCACAGGTTGTAGCGCGCATGCAGGGCCACGTGGACTACTCCTTTGCTACAGCCTGGCACCCGGGCGGCAACCTCTTTGCCACGGGCAACCAGGACACCACGTGTCGCGTGTGGGACCGCCGGCGACTTGACAATTCCCTGTTCACCCTCAAGGGGCGATTGGGGGCTATTCGGTCACTCAGATTCACCAGCGATGGCAGGTGGGTCTCCGTTGGGGGGAGAGGGAAGGGAATAGGCAGTTTTAGGTGGGTGTGTGCATGGCTGGGAGGGAAGGGCCAATTAGGACACCACGTGTCACGTGTGGGACCGGCGGCGACTTGACAATTCTCTGTTCACCCTCAAGGGGCGCTTGGGGACCATTCGGTCACTCAGTTTCACCAGCGATGGCAGGTGAGTTTCTGTTGGGGGGAGAGGGAGGGAGGGAGGGCCCATGGTGCGTGTCTTTGACGCAAGCAGCCTCCCTCGCTCCTAGCCCCCGTCCCTCACCACATGCTTGCACATGGCACATCAACTCGAATTCTCTCCCTCCCTCCCCCCACCACTCCTCTCCCCCAGGTTCATGGCCATGGTTGAGCCAGCAGACTTTGTGCATGTCTTCGACACGAGCAGTGGGTTCACATGGCACATCAACTTGTAATTCCTCCCCCCCTCCTATCCACCACTCCCCTTCCGCCCAGGTTCATGGCCATGGCTGAGCCAGCAGACTTCGTGCATGTATTCGACACGAGCAGCGGGTTCACACGAGCACAGGAGATTGACATATTCGGGGAGATTGCGGGGATATCGTTTTCCCCTGATACAGAGGCTCTCTTTATTGGTGTGGCGGATCGCACATACAGTAGTCTCCTGGAGTACACCCGCGCTCACTCATACGCTTATCTTGATGCTTGCATTTAAATTCATAGAAACGGCATTGTGTTACTTGTTTGGCCGATTTCTCTTCGGCCAAGACGTGTAGTGGATGGATGGATGGTACAATACCAGATATGCACATGGAATCTGCAATAATGCCAGGTGAGCGTTGCAATTAGGCTCACTGCCTTGGACACTCGAGTCTCTGTTTAGAGCTCACAATGTCATGTTGATGATGATCAAGTTATGTATGTGAGAATTGGGCGCAAGGACATCTATACTAATAAAACCTCAGCATGCAAGTCAATCCCAAGTGTGGTCTGAAGAGTGATGAGCTTCAGAATAATCAACAGCATACAACTTTTGTTTTGAGTACATGGTAAGTAGGCATGCTACTTGGTTGAGTGCACATTGAAACAAGTACGGTAAAGTGTTTGGAGTGTGCGAAGGTCTCAGAGCTTCGATATAACATCGAAGCCGAGACTCTCAACTCATGCTACCGCACAGCCACAGTGTTATGAATTGAGAAAGCTTGCTTTCTTTCTTATCAATTGGCATCGTTCTCATTACAAATGGCATCGTTCTCATTACAAATGGCGTATTACAACATTTGCATCATCGTTCGACATAAGCTAGTGCGGACTAATAACACTAGCTATTATGTACCCTATCCAAGTGGCATTAGCAAGGCGGTTTACACTGGGGTGGGTGGTGGGAATGTTGAGTGAGCCGTTTGAAAATTGAGAAACGTGGGTGGAGGGAAATCAGCTCCAACCCACGGTTTTTGTAGTTGGAGAAGGGCGTTTAGCGCGCTTCGACGATGCCAATTGTGCAGTACAAGCAGCTTCGCTTTCACAATACACAATTTTAAAAAACACTACATGTGTGTTTAAAAATTATAATATTGAGAAAGCTTGCTTTCTTTCTTATCAATTGGCATCGTTCTCATTACAAATGGGGTCTCTGAGACATGGGCAGCGGGGGCCTCCGGTTGCGTACGAGTGCCTCTGTGTGTTGCGCCGATGACACCGCATGCGTCGAATCTTGTAGGGTACGGGAGGCTTCGATGAGGGGCTCGACGTATGGCGTAACATACATTTCCTTTGCTGTGTCGCTTCGCCATCTGCCCAGCCGTTTGAAGACTCTGTCTGGCACTCCCGTGTTGGCTGCTACTGTGGCTGCACCTTTTCGGAAAGAATGGGTGCCTAGCTGCAACTCTCCAAGGCCAACCTTTGCGAAGGCTTCCTTGCACCAGTTCCGGATCGTAGTGTATGAAGGTGGCCTAGCCTGGCCCTCGCTGGTTGAACCGTGACCGAAGACACGAATCAATGGTCCCTCTGACCGTGGGCCATAGCCAGCGAGTCGGATGAAGCGTCGGGTGCAGCGCACTGGGCAGCAGGGGTCCGCCGTTGCTGCAATGGGTATCCAAGTGCCGTGACCAGCTTGATCGGTCTTGGAGTGTGGTATGAGAATCCACATGACCTCGTCGTCGAATTGGATGTCTTGCCATTTTATGGCTACTAGGTCAGAGTATCGCAGGAATCCGGAGTACATGAGGATGGGTATCAACCCTTTCTGAAATTGCGCAGGATCGTCGGACTGCAAGTAGCTCGCGGCCATTTCCTGGACTTGTTGGATCGAGACGGGTTCCTTCAGACGAGTAGGGCGTGGGCAGTGTCGCTTTGCATAGTCACGGACTTGGGTGGTGAACGGTCCGGTTGTCGGGCATTTGCTCCCGGTCATGCGATGGGCGAAGCTGACCGCCGAGCAGGTTAGCTGCACTACGGACAGGGTGGCTTTGCGTCGGATTGCGTGTACCAGGTATAGCGCGAGGGTCATGTCGGATGCCGGGAGGAATGGAAGGTTCACTTTTGTGCAGAAGGCTCGAAACTTGGCCCAGTATGGTTCATATGTCCGGATCGTAGAATCGGCGCGGGACTGCGCGAGCATGTTGATCAGTTGGTCGTGTAACTTTGGGAGCAAATCTGAACACAAGGTGTATATATTTTGAATTAGTCAAATGCCACTCGCAGTGCAATGATTGGGCTGTGCGGTAGTCCCATGCCCGAAAAAGCAGTTGAATGGGACCCTACGTCTAGGCATTGGCTTCCGTGTGTCAGAGGGATGTGCGCGTGGATGTGTGGTGCCCAAGTGCGTGGGGAGGGTTGCAAGAGTGGCCACCAGCTTGCGCCTGGCCAGTGCGGAACTATCAGTGTGAGTGATGCATGGGTGCGTTGTGCGTGATGGAGGACGGCTGGGACCAGTTGAGGTGGGGGGAAGGCGAAGTTGTTTTCAGGTGTCCACGCGATCGAGAACGCATCAACTGCAATGGCTGCCGGGTGGGGAATCTTTGAACAGAAGCGCGGCAGTTGGGTGTTGCGGGAGTTTGCGAAAAGGTCGATGGAGTGAGGACCCCAACGACGTTCCAAGATCCGGAACCACGGCGTTTTCAGCGCGTAATCGTCGTGGTCGACCATTTTTGAAAGCTCGTCGGCGTGTGTGTTGAGCTCGCGCGGAATCCATTCAATGATCAAGCGCGTGCCAAGCGCCATGCATGTTCGGATGATGCTCTTGCATGCCGTTGTGAGGTCGGGGCTGTGAGAGCCGCCTTTGCGAAGGATGAAGAATACGCCCTGGTTGTCCACCCGCACGAGAACGTGTTTTTGCTTGATCTTGTTCGCGTACGTTTGTAGCGCCCAAAGGACGCCTTCGATCTCCCGTCGCGTGCTGGACGTTCCTCGTAGCGGCTCTGACATGGTTGCGCTAGCTTCTTCGATGCCACCCGGAAATGTGGTCAGAGTGGCGCCCCAACCATGAGAGCTGGCATCCACGTGGATTACCGCGTCGTAGCTGTTCTTGACGTGAAAAGGTGCGCCGTTGAAACGGTCGAACTCCTCGAGCCAAAATTGGAGCGCTTCTGCTGCAGATGGGGGGATAACGACGCTGCTTTTCCATGACGGTGCGTCGTCGATCACTTGTAACATAGCATGGCTGAATGCGCGAGCTGTCGCGCCAAGTGCGACACCCATCGATGCGAGCATGCCAGTGATTCTGGCCACGTGGCGGACCGGGACTGGTCGGCATGCCTTGCTTGCGCTCAGGAGGTTCCGGATGGTTGCATGTAGTGAGGCTCGTCGGTCCGGACCGATGGAGAATCGGCCGGTATCGGTCTCGAGTTCTACGCCCAGGAATCGGAGACGCTGCGATGGTGACAGTTGTGATTTCTTCGCGTTTATCACAAGGCCTGCCTCTTTAAGATCCAATATCACCCGCTGGCAAGTTGCTTGCGCGTCCTCTTTCGACTGGCAGAGAAATAAGATGTCGTCCACGTAAGGTACGACTCGGATGCCTTGTTCTCGCCAACGCCGAGCTAGTTGCTTGATGAGCTGCGTGAAAACGAATGGAGCTGTCGCGAGGCCAAATGGTAGTGAACGGAATGCGTATGTGCGCTTATCAAATTCAAAGCCAAGGAACTTCCAGCACGATGGGTGGATGTCGATGTGGTGGTAACCAGATTTGAGGTCAATGGAGAACATCCAGTCCCCAACGCGCGCAAGGTCGGCGACGCGGCTGAGCCCTTCGTACTTGAACTTGGGGATGATCAAGTTGGCGTTGACTTTCCTCAGATCAAGAATGAGCCTGCATTTGTCTTTTTGCTCGACCACGTTGAGTGGACTTATGCATGTAAGCTCCGTTGCGGCCATCGGAATTGCCGCTCCCGTCTCTATGAGTTCTTGGATGGCGGTACGTGTGAACGTGGCATGCGTGTTTGCCCCGACATGATTGCGATCGTGGAAATGTTGCGGTGGGCCGTGGCTCCATGGCAACCAGTAACCCTTGGCGATGACGGAGAGGACAAGGCTGCTGGGGCACCATGAGCTCCACCACGCAAATGTCGCGCGAAGACGACCGCGAATGTGTGTAATAGTTCTGTCTGTAACGGCAAATTCGTACGGATCGTCGTGGCATGCCGCCTCGCACCGTCGTGCTCCTGTACATTTGAGGCCAAGTGGTATAAGCTTTGAGTATTCCACGTTAAAGCATGCGTGTGCATGTACTTGTACGGGCAACCATTGATCGAAGGTGTGAAGAGAATGAACAATTGAATGAAATGTCAACGAATGTGTCGGGAATATTAACGCATGTCAACGCATGTCTCTTCTTCTCCTCGTTTCCCCCTTTTTTTTTTTTTTTTTTCTTGCCCCGTCGTCCACTTGGTAGGACATGGTTGTGCCTGCCCTTAGTGCGTAGGGGCTGATGCCTAGGGCCATGGACACCGTTGTCCATTGTGCTTTCTCTCATTCTCTCTTTGCCAAAACCATAGGCCTTTAGGAAGGTAGTTTTTATTAAATCAACCAACACACATAGCAATGCTTTCCTAGCATGCCACCAAGTGGCCAACATATGGGACCGAGGGGTTGCTGTTCCCCTTCCCTATCCTAGGCCCAAGCCTATCCCACCCTTTACTAGGGCTGGCCTCTTGCCATCGCAAACCCCTAGGGTTGCCCACGGTTTTCGCACTCAAGAGTGCACCGTGCCTAGCGCCCAAGCGCCTAGTCTCATGGCCCGCTCCTACACCACCGGAGCGGGTCCCTGGCCTCCATGCCCGTTCCGAGGGCAGGCACTTGCCACGTGGCCCGGCTGGCCGCAGCGGAAGCATGAGCCCCGGAACCCACGGCAATTGGCCGTGGGCGGGGGGCCTCGCTTGGGTAAGAACGGCATCGGCCCGTTGTTTCCGCCGCGGTTGACACGAGCGTATCCGCTTGCCGCACGGTCCATCGCCGCCATGTCCGCGACCGCCTGCTTGAAGGGTCGAGAAGTCAGCAGGCTCTTCTGCTGGTACAGCTTAAAGCGCTTCGCCGTGCGAAAGTCGGAGGCGTCCTCCACTTGAAGCACCTCGAAACGCCCCGCGATGAGGTTGAGAGCGTGTGAGATGAGTTCGAGTCCGCCCGCCGGATCACCGCGCTGCGCCTTGTATTCGGCGTGCAGCAGGTACGCCCGCAGGTCCTCCAGTAGCTCCGCTTGCTCTCGCACGGAGTCGTTGA